TAATTGTTGGGTTAATATAACGCCTTTCTGAGTGTACAAGGGATTGTTCTCTCTCTAAAAAAAAGAGTGAATTTTCACGTCAGTAATCACTTGTTTAAGAGTGAATGTCGATTGATTTTAGAGTGCTCACTCTAAAAAGAAAAGAGTGAATGTTCACTCTATTTTCACTACATTTCCACTTTCCAGAGGAGTGACGTCCATGATCACTCGATTTTTTTTAGAGAGAATTCCTTAGTCAATCAACAATATTTTTTTTTAAATAGAGATTTTGATATTTTTGGAACAAGTCCAGTGAAGTACTATTTCTTATTTGAAGATAATGTAACTTGAAAATGGAATTACAATACATTATAAGTATAAAAAAAAGGGTGTCATTTAAGTCGATGGGGTATACATAAAGGTTTCATAGCCGTCTGTAGGCTATTGATCTTGATTTATTGAAATCCTTCAAATAATCATAATACAGCGTAGTTAAATTGTCAACCATATACCAATCGTAATTCTAAATGAAGATCTTACCCGTATTTTGTATTTAAGTGGGTGATTCTCTCAACTTATCACTATTTACACTTGCCGCCCATGGACTGCGCCTATGCTCTCAGAGATTCCAGTGTTTAACAGTAAATATTTGATTTACCAAGATCCTTCCTTTTTCAAGATAGCGACTAAAGGAGATAGGCAAATAAATCCTTATTTTATGTTTATTTTGTGATGCATGGTGATAGCGTTTCTTTATCCTCTCTCATTATTTTGGCCACCCATTATTTTCTATTATCTCTCTCTCTCTCTCTCTCTCTCTTTCTCTCTCTCCCTCTCTCTTTCTTTCTTTCTATCTCTTTTTTTCTCTCTTTCTCTCCCCCCTCTCTTGCTTTTTATCCCCCCTCACCTCTCCGACTCGATTCAGCATAGCTAATAGACCACTAAAGGGAAGCCAACACAAGAGGGCGACATTCTTCTTGATCTCCATTGCTAGTGTAAGTCCAGAGACATCAAATGTGTCTACTTCTAAACCAATGTACTTGCAATCCTCTCATTGCTTTCAGGACTACCAATGTCACAATGATGCCATTGTCATCATTATCACCTTCATAAAAAAAAAAAAAAAATCAATATTATCATCATTACATCATCATCACCATCATTACTGTTATCATCATCATCATCATCATCATCATTACTGTTAGTATCATTATCATTACTGCTATCACCACCTTCATCATTCTCATCACCACTGACGTCATCATTACTGCCATCACCTTCATCATCATCATCATCTTCATCATCATCATCATGATTACTGCTATCATCATCATCATCATCATCATCATCACCATCATTAGTGTTACCATTATCATCATCACCATTACTAGATCACCAAATGAAATTACAAATACAGTCAATAAAGTATGTTTTGATGGTTGTACATACTATATAAGTGACATTTAATTTTGATGCAAAACACAAAACAGTAGAAAATGTCTACATGAAGGAAAAATGAGAATATTACAAAACATTGCAGGGTGAAAAGTTGCATAGAAATACTTGAACATGTGATCCAACACACACCATGAATAAATCCTTTCATCCCCTTCAAAGGCCACAATATGAGAAACAGAACGCAGCACAAGATTAACAAATGAAAAGACAAAGTATAATTTACTACAAACACTATAATCATTTACTTGGTGAATCTACATACCATCCATATCATACACCACCCACAAGATGCAAGTTACTGCAACTATGGCAGATTCCAAAACTTGCTCTATCACATAAGTGATCGAGAAAATGAGGCTTATAGAATACTAAAAGGAATTCAGCTGTAAGACTGATGAAAATGTAACAAAAACAAGTTGACTACAAAACCAACTGACTACATCATAGCTGATTCACCAACACAATGCAATTCCTACACATGAATATAGCATGATAATAGAATACAAGGCCGGATTTTGGTGTTTCGTTTATCAAAATTGATACACGACAAGAATACTGTTTAGTATTGTAACAAAAAATACAAGTAGAATAGAAATTCTCTGCAGCATTTTAATAAAGGCTGTAAATGTGATGATTAAAAAAAAATAGATGTAACAAAAAATAGTTATCTCTACATTACTCAACCATGTTTATAACAAATTTAAACTTCAGAAATAACCCGCCAATAATGAATACATTTTACAATGCTTTCAACAGAAATACTTTGACTTAAGCATTGTTTTTGTTTAAGTACAAAGAAACTTTGTTTTATCACCAATTGAATAGTATTTCTTCACCTGATCAGTCACATGACCTCACCACCTGACATGACACCCACCCTATCAGTGTTATCCAGAGATGAATAAATCATATAGTTTGTCACAAATAGTGAGCATTTATGAAATACATTGCCCTGTATAGTGAGTAGAGTAGTTGTGTGGGTGTTCAGATCTACTCCAAAAACTTCAAATCCTGCATGTTTATTTGACTGCCAGGAAGCCACTTAATATTAAACACGATATTGGCTGCTTAGTACCAGAATGGCATTAACTTGTATACTTTACACAGAGTTAACACCCTTCTGACTGTCAACTAATGATATCTCATATGTTTTGACTGATCATAAGGCACTAATATTATTGTCCTTTGCAGAGGTTCTTGCATAATATAAATAAACATTGGTTATTATTACAAACTTTCTTTAAAGTTGACATGATCTTGTAGTGAGAATATGCATTTAAAATGTAAAATGCTACCATTGAATCTGAATAAAGTTGTTTTTGCACGTCATTTTAAATATCAAGAAAATCTGGTATCTGGTACTAGGTTATGATCATGGAACATAACTTCATGAAGACATTATTCCCATAAATCAATATAGAGATATGGTAATTTGATAAAATGAGACTCATCTTCTTATTATAATACCTCTGATACCTTACTTGTTAGTAGCTTAAACAGCATGTAAGACAGTTGAAAACATTTAGCTTTTACAATACAGCAGCCATTATAGCACAAATTACATCATCATCATGAAAAGCAAATTCTTCTCATGTTTTGCATATCAATAAATAACATATAAAAACAGTGACTTCTCTTTTTCCCCCAATGTTAACTTCCTCGTATAGAGCATCACCCTTCATACACCCTATAGCTATATCACATATTATATATAGATAATTTTGTTATATATTTATATATTCATATATTTTTATTTGGAGGTGTGTACACATTGATGCAAAATGCTGTTTTATACAAATATTATATACAGATTTTATGTACAGCTTAGGTTAATAAATGCTTTTTGTATCACATATTCTCAGTTTCATTAAATGGACAATCACATTCCATCATTAATCCCCCCAAAAGTGATTTTATTTTTTTCAGCAGCTAATCCCCTATATTAAACATCTACATTGTTACCTTCCAAATTATAGTTGAGCAATAATCATTTATAATTGTAAAATTATTAAGTTCTAAGACAATATTTAAACAAAGAATATGCTGAACAAATGTTTCTTTAGGGTTGTATTAAATAACTGTAAATATAAGAATTATGAATTCAAATGATACACAAAATCAATTAAGAAATAAGCAATGCTGGTATGAAAATACAATTAAACAATAGCAAATAGTACTCAAATTCATCATAGACATGTATGTTTTGCATGTTGTCAATACATTTAAAACTGTGTGACTTTCGCAATGAACATGCAATATTTTTAAATATTTTATCAATATAAGATGCTGATAGTAAGAATTTTGTGGGATGTCCTTTCCTAACTCAACTTCGAAACCAGTATACATTATTTATAGATCCTCTTTAATAATAATAATAATTAACAACATTTGTATAGCGCTTATCACAAAATATGTCTCTAAGCGCTTGAAAAAAAAAAAAAAAAAAAAAAAAAAAAAAAAAAAAAAAATATGTCTCTAATTGTTATCATAATGCAGTGTCTTCATTAAAAACAAGCCCCAAAACAATAATTTCTTGAGCACCAAATTGTATAAAATACTGAAAAATCCAACAATTTCCTCAATCCCCTCACACACACCTACACGTATTTGAACAAGTAATTAAAAGCATCAAATCTTTATCATTTAATTAATAAGTGTGATGTCATTAGAGGCCCCTGGTATGTAATAAGTTCATGTGTATATATCTATTACTTATGACTCTTCAGTGACACATGGTTGTAAAAAGGCATAGTATTCCTACCTTGATGAGGAGAGAATATCTATAACATCATATCACATCAGAAAAGTGAGGGTGTTACACTTTACTGAAAATGATATGAGTGAACTGCCCTATGGCCCTCAACATGCATGACTGACCAGTGGAAGCAGAGAGTAAGCTATTAATGTAAACAACAAACAGCAGTGGACCTAATGTTGAGCCCTGTGGTACCCCAATCTCTGAATCTCTGGTATTCTCATATTTGTGTTATATTATCTTCCATCAGAAGCCTTAATATGTTAAGAATGATTTAAAAGGGCTTCCCAAACTCATTACAGATTTGATCAATTATAAAGCATGATGGATCATAACTGATAAAAAACAAAGAACTGTTTATTTCTTCTGTAGTTCACAAACATTCCTATTCAGAAGAAATATCTGCCCAAGTAATGCCTTATCATCTAACAAAATCTTTTTACTATTCTAGATCACACACAGCACAAACTTTCACATTAAGTACTTTTTAAATAGTTTACTCCTGTCTAAATTCAATATACAAATAAAGAAGTAAAGTAATTCATTTTACAAAAGAAGATTATCTTTGTTACAATTAAAATATTACTTAAATGGTTTAGTTGCTGTACACATGTAATTCATTTCAATACATCTGCACAATAAGAGAAACATTTTCAAAAAATATACATGAAAATAGTTTTCTGAGCTTCTCCAGTGTGCAGCAAAACAATCAGTAAAAAATAAACATTATAAGCACCTTGATGGGATGGATAAATCCAATATATTGATAAATTCTCAGTAGAAAGTCATAACAATATTCTCTGTCTTCCAAGCTATATTTTGTATAAGGAGATAGGAGGGCTGTGCATTTTGGAAGGCACCTGCAAAGTATGTACCTGCTGGTTATCATTCATATATCTGGCAGATGTTTTTTTTCATTTGCAATATTTTTTTAAATAGCAAAACATTGATACAAAAATATAGAAAGTACAGATTAGGTTCATCATCTTAACAGTCTGCTTCCCCCCTCAAACTTACATGTTGCATATTACACTGCACAGAAAACAAGCAGTCAAATATTCTTGTCCCATATTCATCACATGACCAACAATAAATCAGGTGACCAAAATGATATAGTCACATGACATATAATAGAATGAAAGCCTAATTGGTTACATACCTCCCCTCTTACAAAATACATAGACAAAGAATGCTGCATAGTGTTGGATGGAAGAAATTTGCATAATTCATGAGAGTTCTTGCTGCATCCTTCTACATGTCACCTGATCAGTCACATGACTTCACCACCTGACATCGACACCCACCCTATCAGCTGGAACACGTTCTGCAGCACATTTTTCGGAAGTATTCGTTGTTGCAGAACCTGAATTTCTTGACGAGAGGGCAGTATGTGACTGAGCTTGCATCTTGGCAACCTTGAGTAATGAAAAATGAATAAGTTTGTTAATTACTCACCTAGGTGTAACTCGATCTACAGTATCAAATGTAAATGCAACTCTATGATACATAACAAAAGAACAATCAGACTTGGCAAATATTGAATGTAAATAGATTTGATTCAATGAATTAAGAATTGGGGGTACCAGGCTCAGAATTTCTCTCTTTTATGGTTGCACGACAACACGGTCACCAATTGTTTACATCAGTGCAACATTACATTTTAAAGAACAAGCACAATAGATAGTGATAACATTTAGCTCACCAAACCCTCTCCCCTTCTTGTACCATTTTACCCCTCTCAAGTGCACCGTCTGGTGGAGACAGTAAGGTGCCACGTAGTACCATACTCCACCTTTCATCCTTACTCCCCCCTCTCTAACCCTATGAGTGGTAACATTACCCTTCTGAATCTAATGAGTACTTAATGTCATATGGTGCTGGGGTTCATGCTCTACCCTTCATCCTATCTAGCTACCCATTTCAGTCTAATGATTCTTGGTCTCTATGGGCTGGAGTAGTACGATAGGGACTCTCACACTCCACCTTTCGACCCCATCTAGCCCCCCTCCCCCTCTTTATTTACCCCTCTGAATGTAAGAGTACTTACTGTCTGGTGGTGCTGGTATTGTACCACATGGACTCTCGCACTGCTTTTGCCTGCTTGGTCTCTCCGAAGCATGGCAGTTCTGATCTCGAAGGATGACACCGTTCTGAGCCATACAGCTGACAGGGCGGTTCGTCTGACCCATACCACATCGTGTATTGCACTGCAAGGAGAGGGAGAAGATGGAGAAAATATATTTCATGAGATAGGAAGATTCATATTAGCACTGACCATACTTTAAATATCCTTATCATCATCACTGTCGATGTCATCAGTATCACTATAATCATCATCATGACTATCATCTTAACATAATTCATATCACGACCATCAACATCATAACCATCATTATCTTCTTCATCATCATCATCATCTTCATCATCATCATCATCATCATCATCATCACTATCTTCTTCTTCATCTTTATCATCATCAGCATCACATTCATCATCGTCCCATCAGCATCATAATTATCAACATTGTCATAACTCTTATCACCAAATTTACCACCATCATCACTATCACCACCACCACCATATTAATCACCAATAATCAACATCATCTTTCTCATTCTCATCATCATCATTACCATAAGAGTTCTCTTACCTCACTCCAATCTCCAGCAATCCACCTAGGTGGAGGACAATCTCCTAGGTTACAAGGCATCCTGTAGACTGGCATGTCTGCTTTGTTACACATGATGTGTGAGTAGGTCTGTCTACGATCACTGCTCATACACTGCACATGACGCTGTTTATGGCCCGGTCCACATGATGGATAACACTGTGAAAACAAAGCAGGTCAAGAGGATGCCATTTTTATATTAAACCATTTACTTTTAAAAATCATTTCAAAGGTTATATCTTTAGTTCTGGTATCAAACAAAAATGCACATCAAACTTTGTGAATTATATGTCCTCTTATTGTTCCACTTGTATCAATAGATGAAGATGCCAAACATGGTGATGTTCTTTCTACAAACTGATGAGCATAGATGTCAATGTATATAAAGAATGTTAAAATGAAGCAACAAACTCGTCTACAGTCTGCCCAGCAGCACCCCAAACAGAAACCTCACTGAGATTCACATGAATAGCTGGTACTTCTCACTTTCCATTTGTTTTTACATGTGACCATAACACAAAGAAATCCATGAACTCGGAGCAGATGAAGAGGTAAAACTTCAAAAGCAGCTTGAAATAGAAAGTATCTTGCTATTTATAATTTAAAAAATCAAAGAAATCTGGTGAAAAGCTGTGGAGGTCTTATCAAAGGCATACATGGGATTTAATATCATATCGTATTATAGTTATAGAAGCTAATAGAGGTGCAGTTTTGAGTACAGTCAAACCTGTCTACAGCGACCGCCCAAGGGAAACACAAAAAGTGGTCTTTGTAGACAGGTTCCTTTAGTACATGTTTCAATGAGAAACCATTTTTAAGGGACAGAAGAAATGTGCTTGTTGTAGACAGGTGGTCAGTCACTAAAGCAGGTTTGACTGTACCTGGATAGGAGCTTCCTAAAAAGAGTACTAACCTGCGCCCACGGTCCGGTGATCCATACCGGTGGACATTCCCTGTGCCCACATGTCATGATCTCGGCTGGTTTGTGTTCCTCACACAGGGACTCATCTACCACTTCATCTTCATGCTGGGTCACCTTGGTGGTACACAGAACGGTCCGGGTCTTCTCTCCGTTACCGCACGTCCTAGTACACTCAGACCAGGCAGATATCTGCCATCTGCATCAACAACAAAGAAATCATTAAAATAGCATCAAAGCCTCTTTTTATATCATTTGGTAGTTTGCCAGCAAGTCAAAGTTACACACATATCATTGTTACATGATTTATATTTCAGTTCTTCATGTCTTCAATTTCCTCTTTTATTTCATTTTAACAAAAAAATTATGTAAAAGAGGTTTGATAGTTTAAATCAATGAAAAGCTATATTTTTTTTCATGTAGTGATGTATTAAAGGGAAAGAGAGTAGGTTGCATATAACAAGAGAAGGGAAAGAGAGAGATAAGGAAAGAGAGAGACAGAGAGAAAGAAAGAGAGAAAGAACGACAGATATAAAGAGAGAGAGAGAGAGGGAGAGAGAGAGGAGAGAGAGAGAGAGAGATAACGAGAGAAAGAGAGGAGAGGAGAGAGAGAGAGAGAAGAGGAGAGGAGAGGAGAGGAGAGGAGAGGAGGAGAGGAGAGGAGAGGAGAGGAGAGGAGAGAGAGAGAAGAGAGAGAGAGAGTTATACTTACTCTGGAGGACAAGCCTGTGTGTTACAAGAGATGGTTCTTCTTTCAGGTTTCGGATGATCACAGAATGTATCACTAACAATAGTTTCATCGTCTACCCTGACACACCGCATCTCAGATATTGATACACCTGTAGAAAAGTTAAAAGAACATCATTATACTCTTGTGTAATCATCTCAACATTTGTTTTACTCTTACGAAAAGCATCTCACAGGCAGCAACGTCAGTAGTAAGTAATGATCATCATTATCTTCTTTTCATTTCTTTTGTCTATCCACCTACCCATCCATCTATCCATCCATCTATCTATCTATTCCCCCCTCTCTCTCTCTCTCTCTCTCTCTCTATTTGTCTATCCACCCATCAATCTATTTTTTTAATAAATGTATCTATCTATATATCCATCTTTCTCTGTATCTATTTATTTATCCATTTATTTATTTATCTATCTATACATCCATCAATCTAGAGCCAGAAGTTCATTAACTAGTATATTTTAACACAGAGTTAATGCCCTTTTGGCTCTCAGCAGACGAGAATATCTTTCTACCTCTTCTTTTACAAATCTCTAGATTTCCTTTACTTCTCCCCCTACATTCTTACCTCCTGCGCATGTAACAGAGCACTGTGACCAGTCACCCCTCTCCCAAGTAAAGGCCATCTGTCTGTCACCCTGGTTTGTTCTCGTAACTGGACGGTTGAAGGAATATCGGATTCCATGATTCTCCTCCTGTACCAGCAACTAGAAATCAAACGAAAGTAGATTTTATTATTATTATTATTATTAATTAATTAGAATAACAAAAATTATACAAATACAAATCTTTGTAGCAACACTCTGAGTGCAACAGATGGCCACCAGGGAAGGGGACAGCAAACTTAATCACTGTAACCGTAATTGTCCCTCTGCCCATAGAGAACTCAGGATCTAATGTCAAATGTCGGTACTTTATCCAATCTACTCCTATCCAATCAAATCCATCATATTTTGTATTTCCTTTTCTTTGTAGTTAATACAAAGAAAGTCCTTCACAATATGGGGCACTCATACAATAACAAATCTATTCAGAAGTTACTTTATAAGACATTACTGAGCATCTACATTTAAAATAATGATTGAAAATGAACATAAAATCTAGTGTACATAAAAGCTCTCTAAATACAGAAGAAAATTTATGAAATGTGAATGATTAAAAAAAACATATATATGACGACATGAGCTCAATTTTATATGTCAAGCTCAATTACTCTATTCCACTTCAAATATCCACCTGAAAGAAAATGAGATCTGAAATGTACTATTTGGTAATTACCATGACAACAAGTTCTTGATTGGTTGGTCCAAGCGCACTAAGAGTCTCTGGGGCATCGTCTGGTCTCTCGTAGATGAATGTAGATCCAGCAACATCGTAGGATTTAGGCCAATCTATCATCCATTCAGCATTGATGTAGTAATCATTATTCACTGACTTTAGTGCTACAAAGTTGAGGGGGAAAATTATAATCATTACTTTAGTTGAATAATACTGTGAAGACTAAAAGATTACTTCTCCTTTTGATTTGATTTGATTCTCAGCTAATCAAAAGCATAGATGTACCTTAACCATTACTAATGAGATACAGTTCTTTGGTAAACCATTTTCATAAAGGGACTGGAATCTCTAGAACAATGTGCATTTTTATAAATTGAATTGAAAATATCTGAGGTTACCTTCAAGACACACACAGGACAAGCATGTAAATAACATCCTATTCAGACCTAAGAATAACTCCCCAACTACAGTCAAACTTGTCTATAGTGACCGCCCAATGGAAACACAAAAAATGGTCTTTGTGGAAAGGTGGTCTTTGTACACAGGTTCTTTTAGTACATGTTTCGATGAGAAAACCTTTTCAAGGGGAACAACAAATGTGGTCTTTGTAGACAGGTGGTCACTAAAGCATGTTTGACTGTACGTGTAACCCTACACAAGATAGTACTAACCTAAATAATTCCTAGAAATGGCCATCTCCTGTAGACTGATGTGAACCGACCCTCTGGGGATGGTAAGGATCTCTTGATAGTCTCCTGCTACCAGCTCCCCGTTGAATGTACCTCCCACCGTCTCACATGAACTACCATCTCCTCCACACACACGACACTTGTCCTCCCTGGCTTCAGAGCCTAGTATCTTGTCACATCCTACAGTCTGTGGGATAAAACAATATCAGAATATATTCAAAACGGGTCTATATTGTTAATCAATACATCTCTATGTGAAACATACAGATTCCATACAGTCCATTAACAATCATATCCAATAAATGCAATTTAGGTGAGCAAAATGTAGCAAAACTGTAGCTTTCTAGCTGTAGTTGAAAACTTTAAAGTTCCATTTTATTCCATGTCTAACCCATGATTCTGACTTACATGGCATTTTCCATTGATGCATATATCGAGTGACTCCGGTTTATATCTCTCAGAGTAGCATCTGGTTCCATCTACCACCTTGGGTATCCTCCTGAGATGGTTCCCACCAGAGGACACACAGGAGAGCTGACAAGGCTCAGGGTTGGGACTCACGTAAGGCTCCCAGGTATAGAACTGACCATGGTAAACCTCGTTATTGAAGGACGAACATTGGACGGTAAGAAAATCTCGCGAGTTTTCAGGACATTCCTAGAGGAAAATAACAATTATGGAAATAATAAGAATAATAATAATAATATACATACAAATGGGTAAATCTTACATGAGTTATGAACAAAGCTGTTGTAAAAAAATATGGTGTGCAACAAAAATCTTGTCCCAGCCTATCTATCGATATTCAAAAGTTACTAATCGGTGTCATCCCACAAGGAGCAGTACTAGGACCATGCTTGTTTTTCATCTATGTGAATAACATTTAAAAGGATATAACCAGCCATGCTGTAATTCTATTCAGATGGCCTTCATAAAGAAGAGCTGGGCCCCATTTCACAAAACTTGTCATCAGTGACAAATGACAGTTTTTATTATGAGCTAGTGAAATCCTTGCTTCTGATTGGCTATCAGCAGATTTGTCACTGGTTTTTTTCATTTGTCATTGAGAAAAGGTCTTGGGGAAATGGGTTCCAGGATTCATCACTACTTTTTTCGGTTCTGCATCAGTAATCTGAGAGTAAGCAACTGTGATCCACTCACAATCCATTTCCATTAAAGCTCGTCTACACTAGTTTGGCCAGGGGGGATTAGACCTCCCTGCAAGGTCACTAACAGGTGGTTATCTCACCAAAACAGCTCTCAATTAACATAAGAAAAAGAGGATCATCGGGGACCAATAGGCACCGATTAGGCATTGTTTGCAATATAGAGGGTGCAAGTAGCTATAAATAGTGCAGAGGGGCTTTAAGTTAGTAATTTCCATTAAACTGTGGTTGCATGGAACGAGACTTACATTGGTATTACATGATCTGTATCTACTTCTCTCTCCTGTGCAGTACTGGCCTCGATTTCTGGGCCTGAAAAAAGAAGAAAAAGAATTGAGCATTGTCATATTGAGAAGAAGATTGACTAGAACACATTCTTAAGTGCTTTTCAGCACAAATTCTTCAATAATTTCATGTTCTTTTTGTTTACTTTGAAGTCCTTTAATGAAAATAAAATATGTTAATAGTATCTTAATTCCAACAGGAACACAAGTGATTGCCAAAACTGTTATCATTTCGGTTTAAAACTGTTACCAATGCCCAGTACTCAGCTAAATGTTTCCTTATATTTTGTTATATTTTGCCATAATGTACTTTATTGTGGAAGTAAATAATTACTAGAAAAAAAATTGGAGTGCCACCAAGTTTATGAACATGTATCACATCTAGGATTTGATGAGAGTTTGTGATTACCATTTCTTTTTCCAATAGTCATCTTGATCAAAACATTTACTTTATTGCAGCTAATCTCACAATTCGCCCAATTTTAATTTCCAGAGGACATATCTTTTATAATCTAAACAAATTTACACAACAATTGAAACTTGGGCTGTCTGATCTGCAGATGGTACTGAAAAGGTAAACCTTTTCCTACTAGTACAAGAACCAGATGAAGCCTGTATTAAGCATATATGACAATTGGAGGATTTAGTAGTCCAAGGGTTAATATGAAACAAGAGGATCAGGTATGAAGGTATATGACTCACTCTGGGTTATTGCACTGTCTCTCTGAGTTTGAGACTCCCCCACCACAGGTCCTGGAACACTCTGACCATGAAGACCAGGTCCCCCAGGAACCATCTACTGCTTGAGGTCTAGTCCCATACTCTACACAGTCTCCTAGATAGCACCACTGTAACAAAAAATGAGGAACAGATACAAATAAGAATACTCTGACCATGAAGACCAGGTCCTACTGCTTGAGGTCTATTCCCATATCTCCTAGATCACCACTGTACCGAGATATGAGAGACATAAGAACGTCTGACTATGGCTTGGGGTGTCTTGCCTCATGCATTAGTTTACAGTCTCCCAAATTTAGATACATGTATACAGAGCAACACTAAAACTAAAATAAATGAGGATCATCGCATATGTTTTTAAATCTAGCTGTGGCTTTAAAAGTTGTGACAACTTTCTTTTTTAACCTTGTCAGACATTTCAAACATAGGCCCATACTTGTGTCTCCTCCCATCCTATAAATCCTGGATCTCATTATACACACTATCGCAAATGATTCAAATTGATCACAACTTGATATTGATTAAAACTCTGTACTAAAGAAAATAATAGGATTTGTAAGCTTGCGATTGAATGAAGACTTCAGATCAATTCAAGTCAATTATTAGTCGGTGAGGGCCCTGAACTCTCTGAACTTTATTCATACTTTTTTTTCTCCATCATTTATCAATTGAATAGTACGTACTAAGAAACACATAATTACATTGATTACAAAGAAAAACACATGAATTATACTTATATCACAAAATTAATTATAGTTTTTTATATTCCTACTTACTCCTTCTGATATAATTGATGTTTGACATCGAGTCCCCTCTGCAGCAGGAGTTCCTGTTCTCCAACAAGCCCTTGTGTTTGGCTTCTGACAAGCCAACTCCCGACATATATTCTAGCAAGGGTTAAAGAAATTTCAAAATGACATGATTGATACGAGCATTTTTAATGATTATCAAAGTTTGGCATCATCAATGACCATTGAAGTACAGGACTGGTCATCCCATGACTTTCTTTGAAACTGTTAGATTTTACTTATCCAGCAAAGTCTAAAATATTTGTAAACGACTTAACAACATTACAACAACAGCAACAATGATGAAAAAGAGAAAAATGTTTAGAATATTATGATGTCATAAGATTTAAAACAAGCTTATCTTGGTTTTAATTTGTACCAAAAACAAACTTTGTACCAATACAAAATTGTGACTGCTTTTGATATGCATGGCCATGCTGAAGAACAGCCATTGGCTGAAGTATGCCACCGTGCTAAAATAAAATAAACAAACAAACAAACACCCACACACGAACATGATCTGGACTATGATACTGAATACCAGCCAAATTAGACGACCCTAATATTAATAGTTATACTATACAAAGTAAATATAGAATCCTGCATATAAAATTATCAAAATGTATTCAAATATCTGAATGGTTATGACTAATATGTTAAACCAGTCAGGAAGTGGGTAGTTATATACACAGTGTCAGTGGTTTAGGGTCTACTGTTATTCAATGCAATGAATGCACATATACACATAGTTATCAATGAGATCTATGACACCAAAAACTCTGTCAGCATATCATGCAGATATCACATTTCAAAACAACATTAATTTATAAATCCTTTTTCATTATATGCCTAATCTTAAGATAAAAATAGCTCAAATCTCAATTGGCACTTAATAGAATATTAGCAGTAAGCCAACGAGAAGCATTATTATGTGATGGACTGTATGCACTAACATCCTTCCTAAACCATTCTAGGTATTATATGAATGCCTTCCAATTGTTTTGCTGTATGGAATGCAGTAGTGGAAAACCAGAGAACTTTTGCAAATAGTTAATGATCGACAACAATTTTCAGGGCAAGAACTTTCATGCATTGCAAATATTCAGTGTTAATCATTATAGTGATTCAATCATCTCATGGCATGAAATTTTCATGAAAATGAAAGTTGCACAAATATCATGCACATGGAAGTTCTGCATGAGCCCTGCAACACAAATATTTGCATTCAATTGCAAAATAATAATGGCCACTCAACATCATTGATGCATACATATTTTGGTAAAAAGGCCGACCATTAACCAGTCAGAATCATCGTTTTGATTTTGCAATTGATGACAAACTTTTATGTTAACGGGCCCCTGGTTTAACAGTACTGGGGGTTGTTTCACAAAGATCTTAAGTTGAACTTATCTTTAAGTTGGAAAGCAGTTACCATCTTTTAAAATATTTTGTAAAAGTTATTTTAAAAGGCATGAATCAGACTGTATATATATATATATATATATATATATACTCACATTGGTATTGCATGCCTTGGCACCCTGGCCATACTGGAGCTGACACTGTTGGTTTCCATCCACCAGTTCACCAGGCATGGCTGTAGGTAACCAGTAGTCTGCCAGCTGAGGAACATCGTCAAGACATATCGCCTTCCCCGACCTTCAGGAGAGAACAGGTAGAGACAGAGCGTGAGAGGGAGAGAGTTAATCTGCCTTTTAAACCCTTACAATCACATATATAATAACATGGACTGTTTTCTCTTAAAGAGAACCAAGTATCATGTAGAGAAAGCTTCCAGTCAATCCCACCGCTGCCACCAGTGTAAACAAATACAAGTAGGGAATGAGTCTAATTTTAACTCTTACAGGTCAAACCTACATGGTACATGGCCACCACTTTAAAAAGGGCCAATTGTCTATAGTGGCTATGTGTCTTGTCTTCTTCACAAAAGAAATGTGTGTTAAAGAACCTGCATAGAAAGACCACCTGTCTTCACTTGATCGAGGGGTAACTTTCTCTGTTTCCCCCTGAGTAACCTCATAGACACGTTTGGCTGAATGTTATGAAAATCGTACATATAACCTGCTGGAGCCAGAAGGGTGTTACCTCGGAGTAAAAGGACATGAGCTAGTGCCCTTCTTGCTCTCCGTAGAAGATAAACCAAAAGCTCATCAGCCAACTACATGCAGGTATATATACAGAGGTTTCACTTTAGCAGGGACTATCATTTACAAAATACCTAAATGCTCAAGACATTTATTTGTATAGCAAAGAATGGTTCAGCACAACTATCAGATAAAATGATTCATATTTCAGAGAAGTTCATCCACGATTAAAAATGAATGTTAGAAATTTTCATTTTCACTTTTCTCCTTGTATTTTTGGCAGCATTCTACCTTTCTTGTGGGTGGTCTGTTGTTTTATGAAGAACTTCACAATGCATGTCAGCTGTTTCACACTACCCAGTACATCTCCAAGTAGAAAAACTGGTCATATTTTGTACCATACTTCAAACAAGATTACAAATAGTCAAATACAACCTTGATATATGCACACAGAGTCAACAAATAGAGCCATGATAGATTGGCTGGTGAATGGACAAGTCTCTCAATTATCCCCCATCCTTGTACTTAGGAAACTAATAAATCAAAAAATTGACCCTACAAGTCCTCTGAAGGATATTGTTCCGGTTTGATAAATGAATCAAAAGTGGCCCCTTTTTAAAAGCTTTAAATGTCATAAAACTAAATGGTTTATACCACCTAAAGAGCAGCAAATCTCTTGGAAAGAGACAGTAATCCAACGTTCATCATCTAGCTAGCTCTCAACTCAGATGGAACAAAAGTTATTTCCACTCTGCAGGACTGTTTTTTTTTCTTGAAACTCATGTAGATTTAAAATCAAGGAATAGCAGGTCACCAAACTGTTCTAGAACAGGAACAAACTGCGTACATGCACACAAGGGGTTATATATGACTACATTGTCCAATTGAAGAAAAAAAGAGGGGGGGGGGGGAGGGCAGGGTGTGGAGGTATCAATGTATATGAAGAAAAGATATTTTAACCCCCTGATTACTGAATTTATTCATTCCCATAGACTCAACAAAGGGACCACCAGGTTCTCACACGCAATGGGTTAACCGGAAAGGAGAGAAACGATTTGGATATCGATGGATTCCTACAAATTTGCTGACAAAAACTTCAGAGGTGACACTTGACTCCTTTGAAACAGATTTGGGTTTAGTAATTACAATCAATATTGTAGCTTTAGCCTTACAGTTACACATTCACACCTTCAGGAATGATCATGTTTCTAATATCTAAATTTACAGGTCTTGCAAACATCATACAGCGATCAAGCACAATACATATTTGGTAGCCAAGTATATTTTTAGACAGAAACATGAACCATGCTTATATCAGGATCAAGCATGTATTCTTGTGGTTTATCCCAGTGGATGTTTTTGCAAACTCGTTGCTCAAAATAGCACCCCAGCCCCCACTTTTAGCACTCAATCTAAGCCGGAATGTCACTGGGTCACCAGACTGTGTGGACATCAACAACTCTGCTGCTTCAACAATGAATTTAATCTTGATTTTCTAAATAATTTGAGAGAAGTTTACAAACAAATTTGAGTTCAATTGGATGTCAGCCAATTTTTTCCTTATCATGAATCCTCAAATTTTGAAATTCAATCCTTTACAGGTCTATATCTTAAGATAATATCCATAGTTTATTCCTAAGTTTTGACAATTTATTAGTGAAGATTAAAATCTGGTGAATTATTTCAAGGCGAGAACGTGAGTAGTACAAGCTGCATTCCTGTATATTTACTGTCAAACAGCAAAACTATTGGAAATATATCCCAGGTACAAAATACAAAGACATACAACAATATACAAGGTTAAACAGAATTCTACACAATCATATAGATTTTAAAAAAAGGAAACAAACAAAATTCCTGCTTGCTTGTTTTGATGAAAAGTACCTTTTTGGAGTCTCTTTTATGAACCTGCCTAATATTTCATATCTATTTGAAGGTCATTTTTTTCCCCTTTGGGGGCAAGTTATCTGGTACATCTACTTAAAATACAGACTGACCGGTGATGAAACTGACCGATAAAACTGGCCAGAGCGGATGGTTATATACAGCCTGGTCAGCTCGACCTCATCTATCTTGTAACATCTGACCTTCCCTCTACTGTCATACAAGCCTTGTTGATATGTTGACATCTTTTCATCTTATTTTCATTGCTTTTTATGTCCCATCCTTGCTTGGGGTCATCCTCACATCAAACCTTCTGTATATGTTTTTGTAATTCAATTCCTTTCAAACTTGTACTGACCCAAATTTATAGGTCATGCAAGTCATTGTGAAGAGTGTCACAATGATGTATAATATTTTATATATATTTTTTTTTATTGTCTCTGAGAAGTTGGATCCTTTATCATTAATATATATATATATTTTAAATGTACAATTTTTAGAGCAAAATAACAATTTAACGCCTGTGTCATTCCACATTTAATTAAAAAAATTCTGTACATTTCATGTTGGTAGAAATGAACTATATACATAGCAGTTTAGAATTAATATCTGACAAAGATATATCTTTGATGAACTACATTCTTTGCATATGCTTTGAAAACATAGTTGTGAGCTTGCCCAAGTCTCATTTTCAGATGTGACCCCTGGCTCTCCCCCACCCCCCCCCCCCCCCCCCCCCTCCACCCTCCACCCTTTGCAAGTGTCAACCCACAAAGGCCATTTCTACTGTTGGAGAAATACAGGCCTAGACAGGATCTTTATATCTTTCAAAGCATTTCGATTCTCTTCAGAACACAGAGATGAACATTCCTGTCATGACTCGGTTGCAATTATGTCTACACAGGGACAGCAATGATGAATCTATCCCTATACTTAGACAGCTGCTATCTCAACCTGTATGACACCCGGTTTAAAGAGTTTTATAGAGTCTGGGGGGAAACTTGCTCTCCATGGTATGATAGAAAGAGATGGTAGAGAGAGGAAAAGGGAGGGAGAGGGAGAGGGAGAGGGAGAGGGGGGGGGGGAGAGGGGGGGGGGGGGGGGGAGAGAGAAAGACAGAGAGAGAGAGGGAGAGACAGAGAGAGAGAGGGAGAGAGAGAGAGAGAGAGAGAGAGAAAGAGAGAGATAGAGGATAGAGGAGCGGGAGAGAGGGAGGAAGACGGAGAGGGGAAAAGGAAATAGCAAAAAATAGATAGAAAGAGAGAGAAAAAGAGAGAAGGAGAGTGACAGAGTGACATAAAGATAAAGAAAGTAAACAGAAAGACAGAAAGAGACAAAGACAGAAAGAGATAATAATGACATGATCGACATACATAGAAAGAGATAAATAATGAGTCAGAGAAAGAGAGACAAAGACACAAATACAAATGACTGTTAGAGCAGGGAGGGAGGAAGAGAGAAAAAGAGACAAGAGCCTGAGAAAACTGAAAGAGGAAGCATGAAAGCAGGAGATGAGAATGTTTGTTCACAAGTCTGAGACAAAATGCTCTCAAAGGCATAGTAAAGCTAGGAGTGTAAGATGACAATATCATTTCTATTGTTTGCAAACTATAGACAGTGCCCCAGATTTATATATGACTCTGACCAAAGTTTATCTCTTACTTGGCTGAAGTCTGTTACAAGACTACAATCTTTTGTCTCCTCTTATGCAGAAAGATTGTAAATGAAGCTGACACCACCTTACAATCCACATTATTTCCAACAAATGAACCTGCGACTCGTTTTGCAAGTAATACTTGTGTGAAAATACACATGCATTCTGGTTATTTCTCCCTCCTAAAGAAAATTCTAACAGTTTAAAATCCAGACTCGTATTTTGCAGGAGATACTGTGAAGCTATATCAAGATATTTGACCACTGAGATCTTATCTGCACCAACCACTCCAAGTTCTATCCGCAAAATTCTGGGTCATTGATATATGGATAGATGTGAATCGTGTGAAGAGGAGGACGTGTGGAGTGACCAGCAGGGAAACAGAGAGAAGAGGGCATGAATATGGGTCACTTGACCACCTGATCGCTCATCAACAATGACCTCTGACCTCAGAGTGACACGGGTCAATTGGTGCTGAATCAACTTTTCACAGGCTATGACAGCACTATTCAGTGTCTACCTTACCGTGATAATAACCCGATTCCTTTAGAAGACGAAAGGCATTTACAAAGCTCCTCCTTGCTTTGGAACTATAATATTTTGCTTTTATTTCTTAAAAGGCAAATATTGTAGTAGTACTGTGAAAATGATGTTTCAATGGTTGCATGCTTTTAATATCAGATATAGCAAAACTATGTTCATACAGGGTTCTAAGGGCAAACCATGTGAGCCAACAAACAGATCACTCTGCCAAAAATGATGAGCCTTTTTTTTCTCTTTGACATTAATGATTCTTTTCAGAACTCAACTGAGAAAGAATCCTCAATAGTAGATAATTAATTAATTAAGCTTTTACATAATACAATGTGAAACGCATAGAGACATAGTTTGTATAATGCGCTATAGAAATATAATTTATTATTATTATTATTATCTTACATGATCCTTCTGCAAAACCTTTTCACTAGTTTTCAGGACATGAAGATCTACTTACTCAATGTAGGATGTGATGTAATGAGCGCTGCATTCAGACCAGGAGTATGGATCACTGTTCTCTGTGATCTGATCCGCCATGATACCTCCCATTGATCCACAGGCATTCCCATCTCCATCATGCTTCATACCAAAACTAGATCAGAGAAATGACAAAATTATATTGATTTAGAATTGTTAAAGTATGTCCCAATATGTCTTATAACAACCTAAGGGTATGTGTATTTTGTGAAACTAGAGGATCCTGGCTTTTGTCTATGATCTGTGATCTGATCAGCAAGTAGTTTCTCTTGATCCATTGGTATTACCATCTTCATCATGCCTCATACCAAGAATATATCACAGAAAGAAAACAGGTTCATTTGTACATGTAATAATGACCAAAAATATTGACATCTATTTAAACAATTGTTATTGCTTCTTCATGAAAGTTTAACAGCAAGTGTTATATATCACTCTGAAGCTTGGCATCTCTTGTTCACACAAATACATACCTCCATGAAGAGAAAAACTTCATTTTGGTGACTTACTGGTGGTCTTGACAAGCGGTCACAAATACAAACATCATCAACATTTTTGCTTCTTGTTTTGTTTGCTAAAAAAACAGATAACACCAGACTGTTTTAAATACTTGTGGCCAATCACATATGTGCTAAATAGTATGCCTAGATGCTATAGCCTCTAACACGTAGCTACAACTACATGTGATACTCACTTGTGACCTATCTCGTGTGCTATAGTAAATGCTGTAGCTAGTCCAGTATCTTCATTGATGTTACAGCTCTGGTCTGGTCTACACATCACACCTACAGGAGCAAGACCTAAAATAGGAATTAAATAAAAAGAAAGACTCTTACATAACATAATTAGAAGGTAATAAATATAAACAGATGTAATAAAGTTTTAGATCAAGTATAATATCCTGTTTATAGAGCCAGAAGGGCATTTACTGTGTGTTAAATTATATGAGTTAACGTCCTTATTGCTCCAAACAGACAATGTGTATGTTGATCGGTATACATAAAAGTATCTGTTTAGAGCCAGAAGGTTGTTAACTCATATACTCTAACACAATAATTAATGCCCTTATGGGTCTCAATAGGCAATATGATCCCCACTTGATCCCCTAAAACTAGAAATAAAAGTTGTTGGTGAGCATGGGTGTGTAATTTAATAGGAACCCATGCAGTAAGAGGAGCCAACCAACGATCAGGAATAATTGTAATTTGAGTTTCCTCTATATTTCCCATAATGATTATTTCTCATTAGAGGTCCATTATATCAATTAGGGGTAGAGGTCACGTAAAATGTGTGATGATGGAACAGAAGGATTTAATGTAATGGCCTGTTCAGACTGGAGAACATTCATATGAAAATCGTATAAAGAAACGTCATGTAAAGATTCATCGTATAGCGGAAGGGGCGCACAGACTAGATAACAAACTCATATAAAGAAACTGGTTTTAAAGAGGTTAATTAAGATGTCAGCTGGCCAATCAAGAGTGAGTGCTCATGATGTTCGAACTAGAATGGGATCCTGATTATTATAATCTATAATGAGTTTTTCATTTAATGATGCTTAAACATGCATTCACTAAATGACATTGCATTATAAGTTGTTCAGACTGGAAAAAAAGGTAATTACCCTGGTACTTATTGTATAGCTATACAGTTCTTGTATACCTGTAGCTACAGTATACAATGACTTCTGCTAGTCTGAATGCGGGGTATGATTATTGGAAATCAGGAGAGTGCCAATACTGGGGAGTGTTTTTCAATGTAGGCAATTTACATCGAAGGAAATGGTCCAATATCAGTGAATTAAAGAGCATAATACCCATCCATACTGCTATATTATTATACAATTGAGTCATTTGACTGATTCATCAACCGATAGATCTGATTTCATGATTTATCAAAGCATATAGTCACTGTTTAACGACAGGCTGGTCTGTGATGATTTGACACGACATTATTATATATATTCCCTAGTTATATTCTACCCAAATTAACACCAGATTCCTTTTGTCAAAAATCTGTTTTTGTCTGAGGTCCAAGTTTTCCTTTTGTTAGATGTGAACTAGACCCAGGTTTAGGTTAGTAACTATTGAACTAATTAAGATGTACACCTACAAACACATACCGGTACACACAAATACACAAAGAAGCTTTACTGAGAAAATTCAGGATTTTGAATAAGCTGTACTTAATTAAGCACACGATGTTTTCATGTCCAACTTGATATACTTGGCTTGAAGATGGAAAAAGAACAAATTGAGAGAGTCCTGTTTTCGCAGAACAAATACCGCTGAGCATACCTGTTTCCATTCATTATCCAAAAGATACTTGTTTACAAGTACTTTGCTAATTTGTTTTAATACCAATCTAATTATATCTTGCCTTCAAATCTATACTACACAAATTCCTCCTTTAGAAATGACTTTAGGGGAACAAACTTAGTCCAAGCAGCATCGTTCTTGGAACAAGAAAATTCAAATAGGAGAAAATAAAAGTAAAATATAAAACTTGTTTCTTTACTGGTTCATTTTGTTAGAATTCTGTGGTTAATGTGTATAAGTCTTGACTTCTTTTGGGAGCTCCGGCGGAGCTATGTTCCTGAGGTAGTACTTTATAAGGAATGTCATAGCACTGTTGCTAAATTGAAGGGAAATTGCTCACCAATTGTGCCGCAAGGCTGGTTGAATCTCATGCAAAGATCGTATCTGTAAAATAAAGAGAAAGAAGATACAGGTTATTTAAAACACCAAGGAGAGAAGAAACTTGATGATCGAGAATCGGAATTCATGCTTAATCAGTTGTGATGAAAGATAAGAAGATCATTTGATCCCCATCCTATGTTGTAACCTATTTCATTAGTTCTTTTATTACATCATTGACTCACTTATCCATTTATTCACTAATCTCATTTTATTTCCACTTGCAGTTAGATGGTCATCTAATTTATCTGTATAATTGATCCATTCACTCATTAATTCAGTCATTCATTTGTTCATTGAATTTGTTAATTACTTCATTAACTTGTGCCTCTAGTAATTCTGTGAGTAATTCAATTATTTGTTGAGTAACAAGCCAATTTATCCATTTGTATACCCTTTCTCAAAGTACTGAATATATATTTCTCTTTGTTTCCTTGTCCAATTAGGTACTCAAAAGAATATAACTGAATATAACTGCATTATTTCATAACCTTTCACCCATTAAACCTCAAACACGTCTAGCATATATCACAGGATCAAGATTTTCAATTGCACAAAAAGAAAGTTTTCAAACACAGTTCATCCTCCAAACAGAGGAGAAGAAAAAATGAGATACTTGTATACTTATAGAACAAAAAAAGAATAATAAAAATATTAACAATGGTGTAAGTTTATAAAGTTCTTTCCCCCGGATAAAAAGTTCTTTGAGATGCCACCCCTGGGTGAGGGATGGCATATCGAAATAAAATGATCAAGCACTTTCAGGTCGACGAGTTCAATGAATGCATGAAGTTACAACTTTCAATATCATTTCAATTTAAAGATTCACTCTCCCCCTCCATCTCTTAAAAATATAAACAATCCCGTCAAACAAAGAATAAAATGCTGAGTCAATAAAATAAACAAAAGTATTTCACTCTTAACTTTCAATGCTTTAAATCTATCAACACAGCTAGCATTATCATACCAACATGAAACTTTCTTTTAAATATTGAAACTTGCAACAGATACAAAGCAATTGGGAGGGGGGAGGGGAGGGGTGTACCTCCATTCTATAAAGTAAAATATATAAGGAGAGAATTGAATAGGGATCATAAGAGAAACATATGGTTAGGGGGATAAAAACTGGGGATAAAATGCTTTTGACTTGATCTAATCCACAAGAAGAAGAATTTAGAGTGCAGCACAAGTGCTTCCATCTGTTCTCAGTACACACTCTCTCTCTCCAACCATTCAACATACTTGTAACATTCATGTGGTATAGCTTTCACTATGTAGTCTGATGAGAATATAGGCCTACCAGAATATCATCAGGTCGGACCCAGACACCAGCTGTGGCACACTCTTCACTGTCTACATCATGGATTCAATTCTACACTGAGAAAATATTGTTTACATGGCCCCACACATGAAACGATACATTAATAATATGAGAAGAACAACATAAGAGCTGACTAGTCAAGTCTAGACAGTCCCAAAGTATAAGTATTGGGCGATAAAAACGATCAAAGACAAAGCAACAACATCAACAACGACCTAGACAATCCATGGTGGGGTTGACACGAGGGAAGAATAATATGAGAGATGGCCGCATCTTTTTCTCTCATCTTCTCATCTATCTTGCCCTCTTGCTAGTGTGATGGCTTCACACTATTGTTTCAATCCTATTTTATCTCCCTCAATATGATGATGACTTGCACATGTCCTCCGGCCCATTTACTACCAGTTACCATGGTAATGGAGCATGGCAAGTGCCCCCTATTTGTAGAGATGCGTGATGGAGTAATAACAAGATGGTGGGTCTTGTTGTGAACTGATTGAACCTGTCCTACATTTGTATTAACATCACCTCCACCCCTCCCCCACAAAATCCACAAAAAAGGCAACAATTAAATTTTTGAACAGAGTGAACTGAACTGAAAAGAACAGAACCGTTAGCAACAGTTGTTAAAAAACGTCTGCCGAAAGAAGGTCATAAGTGGGCTCTTATGGGTTGAGACAATGGTATAAATTTTCCTTAAATTTAAAAGTGCTCCTCGAGTTATGACATGATTTAGGATCATTAATATAGCTCTCGATTACAAACTTTTTTTTTTAACTTGAAAAAAAAACTTCCACATTCTTTTTCTTACTCTCTATGCCAAATCAATTAACAATTCAAATATCTTCATGTGAAAAGATGAGAATTCTTTTAAAGTGGGGGAACAAATGGAAGATGAAACGGGTGTCTTGAAGAGTATGAAACAACATGGGGTGACCACTTTGTCCATCAACTAGGACCATTTTGCAAACGGTATCACCTAAATCTACCTTCCTCACTTCTTTCAATCTATCTAACTTAAAAACTAAATTGTAAATGCATTTGCACATGATACATCTCCTCAAAAATTGTTTAACCAACAACAGTATTCATATTTTGATACTAAATAAATAAACTAAAAATGGAATTGAAATTCTTTGTATCTACCATCCAAGATGATATAAACACAATCATCATATTTCTCTTTTCTACAAACAAGATTGTATATTTGGTATCAATCACAACTCTAAATCTAGACACTTTGTCAGGGATATCCTCCGCCGTCTGAAAAACAGATTTCTGCTTCGTATCGGTTTCTATAAACTCCTCTAGAAGCTGGCATAAAGCTGGCATGACGATCGAGGGATATAGGGTAGGTAATGTCTGAACAAACAGCCTGGGCTTACAAGACTGGATGTCAGGTTGACAAGTGGTTTCACTCTGATCCAGAGAGGGCCATACACCTGTATCCTACAGATTAGTCATGATGTGTTCATACTTGTACTTGATCTTCAGAAAGCAACACACCTGCCTGTATACATGTACCACAGAACAGCCTGTGGTCACACTTGAACTCAATAGAAAGCAACACACCTGTATACATGTACCACAGAATAGCCTGTGTTCACGTTTGATCCAGCAAGAGCTATACACCTGAATTCTACAGATTAGTCAGTGCGAGTGTTCACACTTGAACTCAATAGAAAGCAACACACCTGTATACATATACCACAGAATTAATAGCCTGTGTTCATACTTGATCTCGATCAGAAAGCAACACACCTGTATACATGTACCACAGAATAGCCTGTGCAGTCACGTTTGATCCAGCAAGAGCTATACACCTGAATTCTACAGATTAGTCAGTGCGAGTGTTCACACTTGAACTCAATAGAAAGGTATGCGACTATACACTTGTATTCTACTGATTAATGAAGCACTAATATTTGAAATAAATAGCATAGGCACATGGAACCCCTTAACAAAAAGTTTGTTGGTGACTGCAGGTACACCTACAACAGGTTGGTACAGCAGAGCTAGATCCTACATGGATGTCTGTATGAGCTGTACAGCCGTCACCAGGCTAATGACAGGTGTGACAAACACTTGGCAGAGACCGGAACCCATCGTTTCCTATCTCCTGTTTTGAATCTTCTTCTGCATCACATCCTAATGAACAGGCAAGTGGTTACCCGAACAGACTGAATGAGGCATGAATGTAACCACAAACACATGGTCTATAACATTCATTAAATCATGTACAACTGCCAGGTTTACTGACTGACTGAGTGCAAGTGTTGCTAATGTTATAAATAGGCAGTAGGTTTGCTACATTATGATTTTGGCTTACTTTGGTTTTCTAGCTAAGCCTTTTGTATAACCTGGAACTATAACTGAATCCTTTATTTATATTTTGCCATCATGATTTTTGGTGAAACCTCCAAGAAAATTTGTAGACCCACGCAGTTTTTCTATTCCATGTGAAAAGAAAAATGATAACGGTAGTTTTCAATATAAACCAATTCATTGAACTCCTATGCACATCATATAATCTTAACTTGATAGGCAATTATAGTTATGCCTCTCATAATTGCCCATAAATATTTGTTTGAACTGTTTAAAAGTGAAATCAATTGATGTAATCTAGCACTCATATTGCTCTACAATGATATTGCCTGTTCAGAGCCAGAAGGGTGTTAACTCTGTTTTGAAGCGTATCTGCCGTAGTTTACAGGAGGGATTAGACTGCCCTGCAAGGTCACTGGACAGGTGGTTATCTCATCAACTCAGCTCTCAGTTAACATAAGAAAAAGAGGATCATGGGGGACCAATGGTCACCGATTAGGCATTGTTTGTTATATAGAGGGCGCAAGTAGCTACAAGTAGTGCAGTGGGCCTTTAAAGTAGGCCTATAGATATGAGTTAATGCCTTTCTGGCTCCAAACAAGTATGTACTGTAATATATCTATTTCAGTACATTGTAACAAAGTATCTAAATGCACAACAATCTTTCAATAACACTGGATAACAATCAAATGGAATATAAAGCTCATGTATCTACTTCGGATATCTGAGCTGAAACCGGTATTGGCTGCAGATTGAAAATAATACTAGGTGATGGGGTTCCCTGTAAACAGGAAATGCAAAACACTACGCCTTAATGGGTTTGGAAGAGTGCTTGGATGTCAATGAAATGGGCTTTTATTGGGAGTAACAGGTGCACAGGGGGGATAATTTAGGAATAAGGGGACAAGAGGGGGTAGTAACATTATGGAGTCTAGGCAATGTGTCACAGTAGGTTTACTAGATGGCTAACAAATACATATATGGCAAGGGTTAAAATAAGAAATTCCACTTTTCACCTAATTTGGATCGAGTTACTTGCAACAATTTCTTATGAGGTTTGTGGATATGAAATAGGATTTTATTTTGCCTGAAGAGTAAAGTGCATCAAAAGTTCAATTATATTTCATAAAGACTAAAGAGTATGGTTACTATGTGATATACCTGTGTAGTACTACCCAAACATAGCCCCAGCATTCGGAATGTTTTGCACATATTTAATGAAGAAAAGAAAAATGTGTCGGCCATTTAAAGCAAATTATTAATATCTATTGAGTTAAAGGTGACATTATGTTGGCTTATGAATATTTCCCATATCCATTTGGTAAAAAAAGTAGGATTCGTTGAGTGAAATTTATCACAA